CCCCCCCCCCACAGCCCCCCCCTGCCAGGGCCGCTCCCCGCTGCTCTCTCCCGGCAGGCCCCGCGCTCCCGGCAAGGCCAGCTCAGCGGTACGGGGTGCCCGCTTTCAAAATGGCGGCACCAGCACGCCCCGCCCTCCCCCGCCGACATCTTGGCTAAGGGCACCCTACGCGCCGTTCTGATGGAGGGGAAGCGGCGTGACCTTAACAAACATGGCGAGGCGGCGGCGTCAGGGACGCCATCTTGACTAAGGGTGCTAGGGGCAGCGTTGGAATGGAGACGAACGGGGTGCCCCGACTAAATATGGGGGGCAGCACTTTGCTCAGGGTGCATGGCAGCTCCGGGGTGTGCCGTCGTGTTCAGGAGGGAGGGTTGTCTTTGTAAGAGTAGAAACTCCTGGGAAACAGACACTTGACAAAAATAAACTGCAAGCCCCAAGCAGCCTCATCTTTGCCTCAAGTTTTCTAGCCCCCCTCCTTCCCCAGCCGCGTTGGCTCTGGGAAGCGCGCCAGGCCAAGCTGTGAGGCTGCCCAGGCTGTGTGACGAGGTAGGGCTGGACAGCTGGGGCAGCCGAGCCGGGGGAGCGGGAACAGCTGAAAACTGGAAATGGAAAAGAAAAAGACCGACACACAACATTTGCCTGGTTTGGCTTGCCCTGAGGACACGTGCCCTTTGACAGCACATCTCCCGCCATTCACGTCCCTGGTTGACGGGGTCTGCTTTCAAATAGGCCTGACCCACCTAAATTGGATTTTCCTCCCTTGCTGTTGCTAGAAAAGAAGCAGGAGTCTGCTTGACCCTCACAGCTGGCTTGAGACCACAGTGGTTCATCACTCTGTGAGGAAACCTGTACCCCAGCCCGCTGGGAAAACCCCAGTGCTCAGACCCTCTGGTGAGGAGAGATCCAGAAATGGCCACAATATCCAGAAATGTGACATGCTGCCTGTGGATGTGTGGTAAGGTTTGACCAAGTCTGACCTGCCCCAGAAACTCTTCTGTGCCTTGAAACTAGGCAAATATGTTCCCTCTTTCATTGCTTCCTTCTCTTGTTGCTTCCCACAGTCTCTTCTGAAGCCAAAGAGGCAAAGCCTGTTCTAGTGAGACCTATGACAGGAATCCTACACCGTGGCTTCGTGTATGCAAATCCCTCTCTGAACGCTGCAAACTTTCACACATACTTCTAGGGGCAAAGGCGTTGTAGTGAAACATCTCAACCCGCTTCTAATAGTTTGGGTGCTTGCCTTAAATTCATGCAGTGGTCAGCCTATAAATATTCCCTAGACTTCTGCATGAGCATCGCTCCATCCTTGCCTAAAGGAAATTAATGCCCTGTGAACAAGTTTACTTACCCATGCACTGTCAAGCTTTCATTTTTTTCTGTTTTCTCTCTTTTAAATGCAATAGAAGTCTATGTTTTGAATATTTTGTATTTTCTTAAAGTCATTGATTAGAAGAAAGCCTAAAGTTTGTTCTGAAGTTGCTTGGTAACACTCAGCTTAAAACAACAGGAGCAAGATGTTTGAAATGCTGCACAGCAGCGTGGTCCTCTATGCAGGTTTGATCACCAGGCTCACATTTTTCTCACGTATGTCAGAACTCACCCAGTTATCATGTTGGTGTCTGCCTACACCTCCGATATGGCAGATGAAAAAAACCCAAGAGAGCCAGTGGTATGGAGATCTACTGATACCGGTGACATTGCCTCCCTCCAGTTAACTAGCACAAGAAACATAAAAGCTGGCCAGACCATGAGGCTTAGATTACTTGTAGAGGCTCTCTGTTGTGAGCAGCTGCAGGGTGATGTTCTTTCTTTCTACTCTATATGGGACACATCTTACACTTTTCTTAGCTATATGAAGGTTTTGGTAAGACCATGCATAGGAAATGGGACCAACTTTGACATATAACAAGCAATTAGGTATATAAATATGTTTTAAATGTTACTGTACAGTCTACGATGGAATGCTTGGCTATTAAAAAAAAGGGGAGGGGGGTAATATCTCCTCAGCTTTCAAGCACCTGTAAAAATCTGTAACTGCTCCCAGTTTGCAGTCTGTGCTAAGAGTTTGTTTACACTAGAAATAGCAAGAAGTTAAACAAGCCATTGAGGAGAGAAGGGCAACGTTTTCAACTCTGTGCCCCTCAAGATGCTTCAACAGACCCTGGCAGTGGAAGATGATCCAATGAAACTGCCATTGGGCTACTGTAGTTTGGATCTATCGGCACTCCTTCCCTTCCCTGGAAGGGACAGAAGGAATTGGCTGCTAGATATAGAGCAGAACTGCAAAAGTACACAGATGGGGCCATTGTCAGAACACTGAATTCCACAGGGAGATTGGCATTATCCAGGGAATGCTTGAGGAAACTGCTTTAACCAAGAGCTGTTCCTTCCTTCTTCCGAGGGCAGAAAAGGTATATTGTCTACTGGAACATGTAACAGTGGAGAGCAATGTTCCAGGTCCAAAGTAAAGCAAAATGAGACGCTGTCTGAGTTGAACATTAAAATTGCCTTCCCAGCTTCTTGACATAAGGCAAGTTGTGTGCTCTGCAGGTGTTAAATTTGCTAGTATGAAATCTGAACATAAGCAGAAAGATCACAAATTCAGTAGGAATAAAAAAGTAGAAGAATGCTATCTATGCTTATATGCTAAAGTAAATAAAATTCAAATTACTTTAGCACTATTGTTAACATCCTCAGACCCAGGAGTTGCTCTCCAAGCAATATCAGTAAGAGGCAAAGCAAATCTGCTCTTCTGGAGTTGCTAGTTTATCCTTCATTTTACATCTTCCTCACATCGCCATGTCTCAAAAGAAAAGCACAGCGCCTTACTGGGACTCAGGGCTTCAATGCCATGCTGTACCCACCCTACTAGCATTAGGTTAATTAAAACATTAAACAACTATTGTGAGATTGCAAGAGGCGCAAAATCCTAAAGCCCTATGTTTCTATACCAAAGAACTGAAATAAAAGCTTTCCCATTCTGTTTTCCTGGAAAAATCACAAGCTTGCTCAAAAAGCAAGACAGAGGGGAAAATAAACCAGGCTACCTACATAAGCCCCAACTTGTTTTGTGTTTAACAACTGAAAGAGGGGAATGCTTTGAGCTCAGGTTCCCCTCCTCCCCGCCCCCCCCCAGGATCTCTTGAAGAGTGCGGAAGTGCAAGAATTAACTTTCTCAGGGAGGAAGTGAGCATTTTCAACAAGAATTTGGACACCATCCATGGAGCTTCTCACAGGACCTTTTTGTCCCCTCCAGGCTGCAGGCTAAGCTGGGCTCAGCACACCTGAGGGCCTGACCACCCATTTCTCACAGATGAAGTGATAGAAAGTCCCAGCCACGTAAAGCAAGAGGTGAAGGTGGTCTGTGTGTGGCGGAGGACAGCCCTGTTTAAGGTGTCTATACTCTGTTTCAAAGCATGAAGTGTTTGGCAGCAATAGGAGACCCAGCTGCCCCCACTCACTGTTGTTTCTTCCCCAAAACTGCTCTGCACATGGAGGCAGAGCAGGGTTTAAGAGCTTTCTTTTTCCTTTCCTGAGCCCTGGGGTAGCCATACCAGGACAAGACAGAAGATGGCACTCGAGCAGCACCAGATGAACCACCATCACGCTTCACACCTCCTACAGGGGCCAGTGTTATAATCAGAGTAAATAAAAACAAAAAAAACCCCAAAAGCAGGAAAAACCGCAGAGCCACTCGGCCACGGCGTAAATGTTTTCACTATCAAAGCTTCAAGTTTGCCATTAATGTTAATGTTTTAGACTTTGGACTGTAAAGGCTAGACACGTTAAACAGTACCTCCTAACTGTACTCTCCCTCAGTTCACAATACAGCCTGGTACTGCAGTTAATGTTTCTCTTGGAAATAAAAAGCAATCTTGTGCTTGATTCCATGTGAAAATGGCATTTAGGTGTGACCACACTCCAACTTGCCATCGGACAGTCATCACCACTAGTGAGGAAACCACTCAGAACAGCCTGCTAGGTTCACAAAACCGGGGATGAGCTTTCTGACCCGGCAGGTACCTCCTGGTCCTGCAGCAGCTGGCCTGCGACCTGCTGTATGAGGCTTGCATAAAGAAATGAGCAGATCAGGCTTCTAAGTGCTCATCCATGTTTTGAGGGTTAACTTCAGCTCTCAGCTTTCTACACATAAGTGTTTTCATATTCAGTACTGGAGCTAATACTGTAGCTTCCTCAAAACATTACATTTCATACCAGTTTGTAAAAGGGACAGCTTTGGCAGGTTGAAGAGAAGACTGAAGAAACTCGGGGGGGGGGGGGGGGGGGGTTTTTT